TGCCAAACAGAATTTCGCCAAGTGTTGGATAGAAAAGGGCTGCAATTGTTAAGTTTGCGCGACGAAGGGACTTATCTTCGTCGCGCAATCTGGCTTTTGCCAAACAAATTTCACTAAGTGTTGGAGCGGAGAAGACAGCGAATTTTGTAAATGATTTTGTGCGACGAAGGAACTCATGTTCATCGTGCAATTTGGCTTTTGCCAAACAAATTTCACTAAGTGTTGGAGCCGAGAAGAGCAGTGAATTTTGTAAATGATTTTGCGCGACGAAGGGACTCATGTTCGTCGCGCAATCTGGCTTTTGCCAAACAAATTTCACTAAGTGTTGGAGCCAATTTTGTTAGGGTTTTGCGCGACGAATAAGTTGATGTTTCGTCGCTGTGGTGTTGGTTTAGAACCCCATACGGATTGAATCTGTCAGTGGCAAGTCCCAATCTAACATTTCGGGGATCAGCAGCAAACTCGGGGAACGTTCGATCGAACTCTTTCCATGCCTCCCCATCTGCAGGATGCCGCATCACATCATCGTCTACCCGTTTTTCCTTATGCCATCTCATGTCTGTGACAGTATGCGTCGACATATACAATCGCTGCAACCTAGGTTTCAGGGGCAAATAACGCATGACTTTTTGTGGGATCTTAGTCGTCCTATTCTGAGATGTCATCTTGAACCTCGACTCATTGCATATAGGACATGTATCCAACGATTCATGCTCTTTGTAGAATAACATGCAATTGTTTTTGCAAGCATGGATTTTTTCATAACCCAATCCAAGACCATTCAACACCTTCTGCGCCTGTTTATGATTTTCCGGCAAACAATTGTCCGTAGGAAGCATTCTCTTGAAAACCCCCAAAAAGTAATCGAAACACAGGTTCGACATACGATACTTTATTTTTCCGTGCATTAGCTCCACAATGGCCGTGAGAACGGAAAAGCTCTCGCACCCCGGGTATAACTCTTGGTTGGCATTTTTTAACAATTTCTCATATTGTTCAAACTCCGCACTGTCTATTGGTGTAGGCACATCATCTTGCTCTTCTTGATTCATGTTGGTCGATGCAAATGGAAAAACATCCTGTATAATATCCATGACTTGATCATTAGCATCCACAATAGGTTGAACATTGTCCACTCTTGTGGCATTTGAAGACGAAGCACGCTCTAATTGTTCCCCGTGAAGGTTCTAAATGCGATATGTCTCAATCATTCCATTCCTTACTAAATGAAATCCAACATTTTCAATTGTCTCCCATAACGTGTTGTTGCACCTCCTACAAGGACAACGGATTCTAGTTGCACCCGGGTTGTGGCTACGTGCAAACTCAATAAAATCCTCGATTCCATCCAAGTATTCGTCTGC